GGGTCGCGTCGGGCGGGCGGATCCTGGCAGGCGGGTCGGGCCGCGCGGGCAAAACATTAAAGTGTGGGGCGCGCTCGACCAAACACGCGCAAACCCTACCGGGCGGGTCGGGTCGGGCGGGTTGGGTCGGGTCGGGCGGGCGGACCGTAACGGGCGGGTCGGGCCGCGCGGGCAAAACATTAAAGTGTGGGGCGCGCTCGACCAAGCACGCGAGAGCCCTAACGGGCGGGTCGGGGCGGGCGGGCGGACCCTAACGGGCGGGTCGGGTCGGGCGGGCGGGACATTGAAGTGTGGTGCGCGCTCGACCGAGCACGCGCGAACCCTAGCGGGCGAGTCGGGTTGGGCGGGCGGACCCTAGCGGGCGGGCGGGCGGACCCTAACGGGCGGGTCGGGTCCGGCGGGCAGGACATTCAAGTGTGAGGCTCGCTCGACCGAGCACGCTCGAACCGTAACGGGCGGGTCGGGTCGGGCGGGCGGACGCTAGCAGGCGGGTCGGGTCGGGTCGGGCGGGCGGACCCTCATGGGCGGGTCGGGTCGGGCGGGCGGGACATTGAAGTGTGGTGCGCGCTCGACCGAGCACGCGCGAACCCTAACGGGCGGGCCGGGTCGGGCGGGCGGACCTTAGCGGGCGGATCGGGTCGGGCAGTTTCGCCGACAGCAGCTGGTTTCGCCGACGGCAGCTGGTTTCGCCGACAGTAGCTGGCTTCGGCGACGGAGCTGGTTTCGCCGACGGAGTTTTTTTCGCTGGGCGGCGAAACCAGCCAGGCGAAACCAGCTGTCGGCGAAACCAGCGGTCGCCGCGGAAGTAGCGAAGGCTCGGAAGTCTCCTGACCATCTGAAAAGCTCCTGACCCTCCCCCGAAGACGCAAAACACCTCTGAGAACCCCCCCGCCGCCTTCTGAGAAGCAGCGCCGTCTTCCGAAACGCCCCTTCTCCTTCCCTGAGATCCGACGCTGCAACAAAAAATGCAGCATCGCAGAAATCACGACCGAAGCCCTGGAACCTTTCTTGCTGCGTCCTTCTCCGCGCCGGATCGGTCTGTGAGGGCCCCGGGGCCCGAACATGGAGCGAAGACGCCCGGTGTGAAAGAGTGCAACGGCAGGATCTCAGGGTTCTGACACCCCAGACCCCCGACGTGATGATTTGTTCATTCCGTCGGCCCCCAGAGGCCCCGACCCTTTCCCCAGGACCGGCTTCGCATCCTGAGCCGTTGTTTGGACGCTCCCGAGGCCTGGTGAGGGCCCCCGGAGGCCGAAGATTTGGAAAAACCTCCCGTCATGATTTTTCCGTTGCTCGAGGTGGTCTGAGACCCCCCCCCTCGCTCGCCGCCGAAAGAGTGACCCCGTAGGCAAGCGTGGCCCTCGGGTTAAGTCGGGCCTGTCCCCCTAGAGGGGGATTCTGGGCAAAAAGGTAAAACATGCCCCCAACAAATGCCCCCAAATGCTCAAACATAGCAAGAAACATGGTCCCCAGACCACTGAATGACTATTCTTAAAGTTCCCGCCTGTAGAGGGACAGGCCCGACTTAACCCTCGGGAGAAGGAGGGGGAGTAAGGGAGGGGGAGGGGGAGGAGGAGGAGGAGGAGGAAGAAGAAGAAGAGGAGGACGAAGGGGAGGAGGACGAGGAGGAGGAGAAGGAGGAGGACGAGGAGGAGGAGGAGGAGGAGGACGAGGAGGAGGAGGAAGAGGAGGAGGAGGAGGAGGAGGAGAAGGAGGAAGAGGAGGAGTAGGAGTAGGAGGAGGGAGGAGGAGTAGGAGGAGTAGGAGGAGGAGAGGAGGAGGAGGAGGAGGAGGAGGAGGAGGAGGCGAAGAGGAGAAGCAGGAGGAGGAGGAGGAGGAGGAAGAGGAGGAGGAGGAGGAGGAGAGGAGCAGCGCGTGCTTGGGCCTGGGTGCGTGAGTGGCCGACCGCTGCGTGCGTGCTGGGGGCTTGGCCGCCATCGCCAGCCCGACGGCCGCGCACCGGCGGCCGCTCCGGCGAGGGGGAGGAGGATGAGGATGAGGATGAGGAGGATGAGGATGAGGAGGAGGAGGAGGAGGAGGAGGAGGAGGAGAAGCAGAAGGAGGAGGAGGAGGGAGGAGGAGGAGGAGGAGGAGGAGGAGGAGGAGTAGGAGGAGGAGGAGGAGGGGGAGGAGGAGAGGAGGAGAAGGAGGAGGAGGAGGAGGAGGAGGAGGAGAGGAGGAGGAGGAGGAGAGCGCGTGCTTGGGCCTGGGTGCGTGAGTGGCCGACCGCTGCGTGCGCGCTGGGGGCTTGGCCGCCCTCGCCAGCCCGACGGCCGCGCACCGGCGGCCCCTCCGGCGAGGGGGAGGAGGATGAGGATGGAGGATGAGGATGAGGATGAGGATGATGAGGAGGAGGAGGAGGAGGAGGAGGAGAAGCAGAAGGAGGAGGAGGAGGAGGAGGAGGAGGAGGAGGAGAGGAGGAGGAGGAGGAGGGGAGGAGGAGGAGGAGGAGGAGGAGGAGGAGGAGGAGGAGGAGGAGGAGGAGGGGGAGGAGGAGAAGGAGGAGGATGAGGAGGAGGGGGGTATCGGTGTGGGTTACCTTTTCCTCCTCTGAGGATCGGGGCTCCTGGAAAAATTGGAGCGGCCAGAGTGGGATCTGGGAGTCTTTTTGGAAGCTCTTTTCAACCTATACCGCCTCGGCCTTACGGCCTTTCATGGCGCTCATACAGGCCTCCTAGATGGGGGCGGAATAGATTTGTCGAAGGATCGCGCCGCATCGGCGATACATCGGCGATGCACCGGCGATGCACCGGCGATGCACTGGCGATGCATCAGCGACGTCGGCGATGCGCCGGCGACGTCCGCGTGAAGATAATCGGACTCTGCAACGAGCCGCATCGCCGATGCATCGGCGATGCGACGCGATCCTCCGACCCAGCCTCTAGTGGCATCCAATCGCCTTTCGGCAGCCTTCCGTGGCCTTCAGCAGCCTTTCGCGGCCTTCAGTGGCTTCAGCGGCGTCTGGGTAGCCTCTACAAAAGTGCAAAGAAGTGTGTGATGCATGTTTCAATGAGCTTTCAAAAAGACCCGCTCAACCCTGGTGTTCGGATCACCCTGGCCTTCGGGCCGAAACCTAGCCCTCTGGCGGCCGTTAGGGACGGCCTGGGCGTCCCCGGCACTCTCTCGATGAGGCGAAGCTGCTGGAACTCACCCCGAGGCACGAGCACTCCCAGAAGACAACGAGAACGTACGAAAACCTTCCCGAGCACAGAGGTGCTTGCCGAGGGGGACGGGGGGCACCGTCGAAGGAGGAGGCATCGACCTGGAGTCCGCGATACGTCGCTGATGTACAGTATATCGGCGCCAGCGGCAGCGAACCCGCACGTCCCCCGGCGGGGCGGGCCCCAGGGCCCCGGGGGCCGACGCCTCCAGCCTCCCCTCCTGAGCCTAGTCCCCCCTGCTGACGTTGCCCCTGACCTTTTCGGCGCCTGACGGCCTCGGGGAGGAGGAGGAGGAGGAGGAGGAGGAGGAGGAGGAGGACAAGGAAGAGGAGGAGGAGGAGGAGGAGGAGGAGGAGGAGGAGGAGGAGGAGGAGGACAAGGAAGAGGAGGAGGAGGATGGGGAGGAGGACGAGGAGGAGGAGGACGAAGAGGAGGAGGAGGAGGGAGGACCTGACGGCTTCCTCGTCAAAGCTCGGGCCTCCGCGGGCCGGTCGGGAGGATCCGGGCACCTCCGCATCGCTATTTCGGGGAGGCGCCGCCGCCGCCGGAGGGCACCGCGAGGCGGAGAACACCCGCGGGCGCCCGACGCCGAGGTCCGGAGAGACGTCGCTCCGAAGGCTCTGCTCTCCAGTTCTCTCGAGCCAGAGCGTGTGCCTCCGTCGGCCGTGCGGGGCGATTCCAGCACCCCCGGAACGCCCTCGACGAGGCACAGCTGCTAAAAACTTCGCAAAACAACTGCCGCAAACTCTCCCCTGCGCCTCTCCCAACGCTGCCCCTCCCCTTCCACTGAGAACAAAGGAATTCGGCGCGACCCCTATCAGGGGAAAGCTTCCTGTGCTTGGCATTGCTTGGCAGTGCTTCGCATGGCATTGCGTTGCTTGGCATTGCTTCGCATTGCTTGGTATTGCTTCGCATTGCCTGGCATTGCTTGATGCTGCTTGGGGAACCCGGGAACCCCAGGAACCCGAGGACCCTGGAGACTCCAAGGAACCCAAGGAACTCAAGGAACCCGAAGAACCCGACGAACCCGAGGAACCCTGGGAATCCGGGGAATCTGAAGAATCCGAGGAACCCGAACAAACCGAGGAAACTGGGGAACCCGAGGGACCCGGGGAACCCGGGGAACCCGGGGAACCCGAGGAACCCGAGGAACCCGAGAAACCCGAGGAACCCGGGGAACCTTGAGGAACGGGCAAACAAAGTAACCCCCCGAGTCACCAATCTTCAACCAAGTCATAGCCCCTTCGGCAAGCCAGATTGAGAAGAAAATCGCCCACCCCGACAAGCGAAGACGTGTAGCAACCGCACCCAAGAAAAGAAAAAAAACATACTGTTCAGTAAACGCCCAAGGTTCCAGGAGCGCGTTTCCTTATTTTTTGACGATCATGGTCGTTATAGTGGGGGGGGGGCGGGGGGTGGGTATTATGTAACGCCCCACAGCCGCGCCCGCGCGCACGACGACGGTGAGCGACGAGCGACAAGCGGCGAGCGACGACGACGACGACGACGACGACGACGACGACGACGACGACGACGACGACGACGCGAGCAGCATGTAGGTGGCGACCTGCCCACAGCGCTCGTGTATACCACAATGCTGGCGTGCACGACAGCGCGCGTGTACACCACAGTGCCTGCGTACACCGCAGAAACTGAGTGCGACGCAGCGCCTGTGTACACCACAGTGCTTGCGTGCACCAAGGAAGAGGAGAAAGAGGAGGAGGAGGAGGAGGCGGCGGAGAAGGAGAAGGAGGAGGAGGGGAAGGAGGAGGAGGAGGAGGAGGAGGAGGAGGAGGAGGGGGAGGGGGAGGAGCGACGAACGCTGCCCCCGGAGAGGGC